GGTGGGGGGGGGGGGGGGGGGGGACGGGTGTTCCATTCCCCCAATTTGGAGGGAGCCTTGTCTAAGCGGACAGGGCGCAAGGAGTAAAGTTCGATATGACGCGGATTTGTATCCCATTGTTGGGAACTTGCATGATGCCATTTTCGAGCGCGCAACGAGACTCTGTCCTCCCTCCCTGTTCGTCCGTCCGTCTCTGGCTCACTTGTACTGCAAGGTATCCTGGACTGCCTGCATGATGTCATCCCGACGCTCGCCGAAGTACTTGCGAAAGTCGAGAGGTTTAGAAGCAGTCTTGTCCAGGCTGTGGAGATCGGCACCATGCCGCAGCAGCTGCTGGACAACCTGGAACGAAAGGGGGTCGTTTCCCGGACGATGAATACTCTCAGTCGCGAAGAAGGACTGTTTTGTTCGGCATCACATAGCACTCTCTCCTCTGCTGAGGTGACGGGCGTGAAGTGCCGATCTGGACTTCACAAAAACAAAAGGCCCCAAGAAAACTCCAGGGACTCCTTACATACTGCATGGACTAAAACTTCCTTCCAGAATAGTTTATATTTACCATGAAGGGAGCTGCGATTTTGGCACTACAATACTACGACCTTTCAACAGCTCGCTTTGAATATCGCAAGCATGGATCCGGCCAGCCAATCACCGAGGTTTTGTCAAGCGACTGATCATCATGATACTCACGTCCTCTGCACCTTCCCTTATCAGGTTAAGGCCCGCCTGTGCCGTACAGGAGGTTGAGCTCTCCGACATCGCCAGCGCCCGGCAGGCGTAGTGAAGCGGTGTCCATCCCCTTGCGTCCTCGGCAGTCACCATCCCTCCCTGTCATGAGGTACCCGACAGCACGCCAAATACGTACAGTCTACAAAGCCTGCATAAATATCGCTACAGAGGTAAGACCGGTCAAGCGGACTGGACATGCATCCGGTGCCGATAAAATCGTTTGCGTGTTTCAACATGTCTAACCGCCATGTAAATCGGTGCCAAAACTATAGTGCAACACGTTCGTGGGCAACACGACAGTATGGGTGGTCAAGCTAGTTGTGCCGTCCCCAACCTCCATCTCACGCTAGCAGCAGAGTACATAGGATGGACGATGCCGGATAATATCGCACCCTTATCTAAATCCTGGTCCTTTGGCATTGTTTCTCAGAACCTCTGAGGAACGCCGAGGGCCGCCGTCACGCCATTTGCGCCAAATGCGGTCATCTCACGATTGAAGCGCACTGCAGAGTACCTAGCGCAATCACATGCACCACCAGACTACTGTAGATTCGATTGAATCAGCACCATCAACCCCCACCCTATATTGTTGAAGCCATGCCAACGACATGAACAGGATAGCGTTGACATGACACTGCCTAGAGAACAGAAGGCCTGCCTGGTTCTCCTTGAGCAGAACACTGACGATCTTCATGCGCAAATTGAGGCTGGCGATGTGAAGAGGGGTCATCAGCTCTTCGTTTTTGGATCCTGCAAATGAAACGGGAACGGGGAGTTTACGAGAATGCCCAGGAAGTGCTTGAAAGGCAAGGCACGCGGTGATGAAGAAGGGGAACAAGATGATAGTGCCATGCGACGAGTCCCAGCAATATCAAGTCAACTTGGACATACTAATGTCACGAAATAAGACGGTGCGAAAGCCGAAGGCGGAACCAAACCTTAACCCCATGCGAGATACCTGAGTTGGCGCTGTAGATGATGAGGGTTTTGACGATGTGGATGTGTCCGTGCTGGCACGCAATATGCAGAGGAGAGTTTCCGCGAGCGTCTCGAATATTCACCTGGAACATACAACATAGACAAAACTGAATGTCGCTACTAGCATTCGAGAACAGAACTTTTCGGGTCGCAAGCTTTCACGTATTACCGCCCCGAACATGGGAAATGGCGAATTGCTGTCCCGTGGCACGGTACTTCCGGCAATACCTCCGGGTCATAACATTTCCCCGAAATTTAAACGATACCAGGTAAATCCAAATGAAAGCGTTCACCTGAGACTTCGCTGCAAGCAAGTTCTGAACAACCTGATGCCTCTCCTCCGTATCTGCCACAGCGTGGTGAAGAGCTGCCTTCCCAGAGAAATCGCGCTGGTCCAGCATCGCCTGCTCAAAACGAGGTTTGTGCTTTACTTTCTGGTGTACAGCATTCGGACCGTGTGTGGTGGCTGTAACGAAAAACAATTCATTTGTGTGAAAATTTTTGGGTAGATTGAGAGACGGTTCCAGCCGTCCTTTATTGTGTGTTCACCTGGAGGTCAGAGACAGCACTGGTTAATCCTCCTTCTCCGCTTGCGTGTCGAGATGGGCGAAGAGAGGAAGACCTCTTGTTGCCGTCCTCGGTTGTTCCCGGACCCTTCCCTCCACCGCCGCCGCCACGGCCGCGAAGCTGTGCGTTGCAAACGGTTCCAAGAGGGATAAATATATATGTGTGGGGCTTTGGACATGTTACGCACATTTGACTATCGTGATTGGGGAAAAGCCGGGGGCAAAGTCACACCGAGGCCATTCATCTTCGGACAGCAAATCTCCAATGGGCCGTTTTGAAAGAGATCGTCCGGATACGCATGCTCGCAGACCTCTTGAAAAAGGGGGCTGGTTCGTTTCCGTACTTTACATCTTACCTTTCTGGCTCTGTTCAGCCGATCCCTGACGAGCTCGCTGTGGTGTGCCAAGAGTAACTGCGTGATGGCATCGTGTTTGCTGATGACGCTGTGAAGAAGAGCGGTTCTGTTTAGCGTGTCGGTCACCGCGATGTCCACCCCTTCCACGAGAAGCCTCTCTACCAAAGTCTGAAAATTGGAAATACACGATTCAAGTCATCGAGAGGGTAGCGCTGAAGGCTACACGAAATCCAAGCTGAGAAAAGATATCGCTGTTTGAAAAAGCGCGAAAGTGACGGCATCAGGAGAACGTTAGGGACTCGAGCGGTTGAGCGGGCAAGCTACACGACATAATGTAGTCCTCACCGACCTTACACGTATTCAAACGTTTTGTGAGACCATAGATTCCGTGCTGTGCGAAGTCACAAACCAAGGCAGGATTGTTGCACGAACCACTCACACTTTTGATGTCGCCTTCTTGCCATCACTTACGTACTCGGACAATCCACCCCGCCAACCGACTACAACAACAAGGCAAACCACCATCACACGGATATTGCGATACCCCCGTTGTTCCTACCTCGTTGTTGTCCAGCACCGCTGTCATGAGGCTAGTTCGGCCGTCTCTTGGGTCTTGAGCATTGGTCGTGTCGCAAAGGTCCAAAACGAAGAGGTTGCTGACGCCCGTCGCGTCCTACGAAGATGAATCCTGAAGAGATTAATTGTTCTGTGTGTGCCTCGACTTCACATTCACTAACGGCTAAGCGGCAACCGTCGTTGCCTGGAGAAACTCCTCCAGACTGCTTTTTTAGCAGTGTCCCGTACTTCTGGATAATATTAAACTGCCCGGGCAATAGAAATATCTTGCGACAGTCGTACCTCAATGACAGCGAGCGTGGTGGAGATGTATCCCTGTGGGTCAGGACACTCCCGCTCGGACGTGCTCGCAGACATCTCAAGCGTCACCTGTCAACCAGCAGCAGTTGCTTCGGTCCGTAAATCTTGCGGAGAATTGGCCGAGACACGCGCGTTGATCTTCACATGATTTAGCGCACCTTTTTGTACGGCTTCGAAGTCGTGATGACAGCTCCAATTGAGTGGCGCCCTACGCCCACCGCCGCAACGCCTGCCACCAGTTCCACCCCTAGACCTCTGTTACGAGGCTGCGACAGCACCTTTTTGGCCTCTGAGATGACGGCTTGTTGATGAAAGCTGCCGAGATAGACCTGACGGACACCCCAGGTTCAAACAGCATGGAGGATTGGTTCTGATGGGAGGCCTCGTCACAACCGATGCGTTTTGTGGGTCGTTACGGACGTCTGGATCAACCAGATACGACACGCACCCAATCTTACCTCGACCAACTCGTCTCCGAAAACATCAGACAGACTTCCGAGGAGCTTGAGACCATGCTCGTCCTTGTTGCCCTGCAGTCCTCCCCCTTCTATACCAAACCCGGAGCTTGACAATCCTCCCGTTCTAACGCGGGTGATATAGGCACGAGAATCCGGAGCTCCCGCCTCGAGGCTTCCACTCAACTGGCTCCCGTAGCTAACACGCCGGTTCAAGGACCGTGTACGGCTGGGTTCCCGGGATGCCGAAGCATTCTGGTTAGCGGTGGTCAAACCTGGATGAACACAAGCGGGCAGACGTACACCAGAGTCCATCGTATAGAAGCGAGAGCGTGTGTCAAGGTTTGCGGACATTCAAGACACAAAGAAAAATTCTATGATTGAGATCAACCGGTACCAAGCTAGGTGAGGTGGGTCGATGTTGTCTGGGCAGCCCGCCCGCGGTCTCATGATCCATAGAGATGTCGTCCAGCTCCTGCCAGTACAGCTACCTCGTGCCTCCCGTGTAGTTATCCGGCAATAACAAGTAGGTGAGGGGGTAGCGATCCATCGAAAAATGTTCGTAATCCGAAATCGTGTGGTGAGAACGCGTGGGAGGCTTGTTCGCTCAAGGAAAACAAGAAAGGCGATCCTATATCTAATATCTTGCAGAGAAATCTAGTGTGGTGCTCCAAACCGATGGCGTGCTGCCCGCATGCAGACTAAAATATGAACAAGCATGATAATGGTGACTTCAAAGCGGAAAGCAAAAAACATACATACATGTGGTTCAGCCTTTTCAGAGACGAGCATGCACCCTATATAAAAAAACCACACCAAAATTGAGTAGACTATGTATGTGGAACAATCATGTCTTGAATATTGATGGAGGATCAGATTAATATGCATGGCAAGTGGGGATGCTGTACTTCACCATGTACCTCTGTAGCTGATCAACGTGAATCGTGCCCGATTCTCACACCAAAGTCGAACTTTCGATCCATTGGGTTGGTTTCTCATAACTCAAATAAACTAACATATTTATGCCCGTCGAAAGAATTATGTGTTCATCAACAACAACGGGGTTCACTCCTGATGCGCTGGTCAATACAGCCGTTCAAGCTCAAGCTCGTTCCTGTAGCTGACAGGGTCTGAACTAGCATGCTGGGGAAGGCTTGGCAATTTTGAAAATCATGACGCCGATCGATGCATACGAAACTTGCAAGTGCATCCCTCACCAGGTGCGGGAGAGACCCGATCTTGACCAGGTTGACCATCATACCCATGCCGTGACATCTGAATTCCAGGAACCGCCAAAGTACCAGGTGTAGTACTGGCACCATGACTCATCGCAGATGAGACTTCCCGTGCCAAGGCCTGCCCCAGGATTGGATTTGACGATACGAACAAGTTACTGGGAAGTTTGGTGGCCCTCTCACGGCTCCAGGTGGTCGTGGCGGTTACTTATTTATTTAGTTTTTTGTCATCACTTCAAATCAGCGCTCACAGCACTAGTGCCGTTTACTCCAACTCGTGGTCACACAGAAGAGCCCCTCTCCACCCCCCCCTCCTGCGGTACTTTGCCTTCGATTTTTAATGCGAGAAGAGTTTAGCACTCTCTTCCCTCTGTGTACACACGAACTAGCGCTATCCACCAGGCCAGGAGCGGAAGCAAGAGAAAAAAACACTTTGCAAGAAAAGCTCGCTTACGCCGGGATACGAACCCCTGACCTGACCTCTAGAAGGTTTCGAGGATGCCAACTAGACCGCCGGGGCGACCGCTATGGAAGTGGCTGGAAAGAGTTCTTGACCAACCTTAGGGCTACGCTGAACCAGCCTCAGGGTGAGCACCGAACCGAAGCGGTCGGTAGCCTCCACGGTGTCGCTTGTCACTGAATTGGAATTGGAATCAATTGTAGGCACAGGGCGGATCGTGAGGGAATGCAAAGATAGCGTTGCGCCTCATTTTCTTATTTGTCGGGGCTTTCCAGCGAGTGCACACCAAACGAGATCTTCACAGAACATGGACTTTATCATGGTGCAGGGACGAACAAGAGAGTGGTTGGAAAAAACAAGGGGTAAGAGGGTTAGAGAGGGGCTACAAGGAAAGGGCGGAGAAGACGAGTGAGGGAGGCACAGGAATCTACCGGTTGGGTCCTGAAAACCTTTGTCGGTAGCGTTTGCATGTTGCCCGCGAAAGAAATACTCGGGTACTCAGGGCGCAATGTTTCATACATGATCTTGCCAAGATGGGCCAAAAAGTTCTTGGATCCAGCAATATTATTTTGTGGACGCGCAACACGACGACAGACAACAGCAACATTGCACCTGCTCCAGTGTCTTGAGTCGTGTCCGTCACAACAATTTCATTCGTATTGTCCTTGCTGCGCAGCAGTATTCTGTCGATCTTTCTGAGCATGTGCAGTCGCTCCTGCCACTGCGATACCCCCGTTCCGGTGAAATCCTCCCTGGAGACGCCGCCCTCGGCGTCGAACGCCCGACCGCCTTCTTTGTACCTGGCAACGTCACGGCGAGTTTTTCGCAGTGGATAGCAATCCGCAAATTCTGTCTTCTCGCGTGCATGGTGACCACATCAAAGCTACTACATTCAAAAGTCCAAGGGTCATGAATTGTTTCGGGACTCGGCTGGCGCGACAACAAGGTCAGGCATTACGGTGGACGGGGTGGTACTGAACAACAACTGCGGCCATTCTGAGGGATTTCATCTGGTGCGGTCTTACATGTCCCCGGCGTTGCTGTAGTCTTGTTGCTGAGGCCTTACAAAGCCGCACTGGACCATGGCTGACGCGGCAAAAGCGTGAAGCCGGAGGGCCCTGAGGCTCCGCAGAAACATTCGGGAGACTTCGGGCGAAGCATGAAAAGGAGCCCGTGAAAAGTCTGACCTAGTCACCACTAAGAGGCGCTGGCCAGCCGTGCCAATCTTCCTCTGAAGTCCAATAGCCGCCCTCCCTGCCTCCAACCAGCTGCTGCTGATGTTTCGGTTGATGGTGGAGTTCCTGCGGCCATGGTTTACACCGGAGGCATCTGGGCCTGATCTTTGGCATGCGCCGGTCGTAGCACTTTGAGCCATCACGGGAGCTGGTTGAGGGTGATGGTTTTCGTGCCACTGCTGCTGCTGCGACCGCTCCCATGCCCTTGCGCCATGTGTTGGTATCGATATTTCGGTCGCATCGTCAGTAGATGACACTGGATTGGTTTTCCGCGTAGTGCTGCTCGTTCCAGACACCTAGAATGATTCGAAGGACAAAACGAGATTGCATGCTTCGAAGTACTTAGTTCTTTTGCTCGAAGAAGGGCATCCTGGGTGCTGAGGATATGAAGGAGTGATTTGTTCCACCAAACGCCCAGTCCGAAAATGCAAAGGGCAGCCTGATTTAAACATTGATTGCTTTGGCCCTACCCAGAGAAAGCCCCAATCTATTTCTGTCTCAATACTCTGTCCTAGAAACGGGCTCTGTTGATCGGGGGTCTCGCACGGTCCTTTCCGCGCGGTCAAGGTTTGATGGAAACCTAGTCAAGTACGTTTGGCGCGTTCGGCATGGGGTTTGGGGACAGGATTCCTTGAACGGCGACGCAAGTTGGGAAAAAATTACTTGCCCCGTTTGTCCGACTAGGCGCTCTTCCCACGTATGTCTGACATTGGACCTACATGAACGTCGACATCCCGTCGCGAGAAACCGAGCACATGCAAGGCTCCACGAAAACTGCAGAATTACCCCATGAAGGCAGCCGCGGAATCTGTCGAACGAAGTATCGTTTTCGACGAACCTGTCGGTCCAATGATGATCCTGGAGCCATGTGCGATGAGTTTGAGGCAACGCTGCCGCTGCTGCCGGTGACTCGCCATGGGGTTCGGAGTCCCGGCCGAGGGTCATCGGCGGCATCTTGAAGGGCAATAGTGTCAACGTGTTGAGGGCGGGGGTACGACAAACGGGTATGGCTAGCAAGCGTTTTTCACCACTACTCTAGGAGTGCCAGTTTCGGCTGTTCCATTGTGGCGGAGATTGTTGTGTGAGAAAACTACCAGGTAGCGACAAAGGGGGGCGATAACCAACCAGGAAAAGGGTACGCGCATGTAAATTTGGCAGGGACGGCTGTATGAAAACCTCGTAACCCATGGCGAAACACATGTACGCCTCAAAAATGCTTTGCAGCGGGAGCACTTGGCACGCGAACAGGCGAATTGCATTCGGCGCACGACAGCGACGTGTAGAGCTTGACAAGTTAGACACTTACCGTCATACAGAAATACGTGCGCCGCGCTACACATCTCATCGAGGTCGACACACGAAAGCCATTGAAGGCAGTCCTGGACGCCCCAGGAGGTTGGGTGGGGAAGGCTCCGCTTCGACTGTAATCTGTTCGTGTTGATTCGGCGACGCATCGAAGGACAATGAGGGGAGAGTTCGTTTTCGTCGTAAACTGTTACGCATTTATGTAATTTTTTTCACAAACCACAAGAAAGCATGCAAAAACAGGAAGGTGGGAGAGGAGCGCTCAAGATGCTCTGTTCAATTTTTCCATCAAAGTGCCAGTGTTTATCAGAATGGAGGTCAAATGAAGACGTGTAGTCTGCTTGCCACGTATGGTACCTCCGTAGGGCCAGCTTTGCCTCTCCTCGAACGGAATTGGACCAGTGAAACGCCGCCAGAAAAAGCATGCGCCGCTCGACGGTTTCCCGTCTGGCCGGTCGCATCGTCGACCCTGTGGAGTTCAACGCTAGCCCGGAAAGAACGGAGATGCACTGCCGCTGTAGCCTTGTTGCCGCCCTCTTTCGTTTGGCCATTTGCGCTGAAAGCCCGAGGCTGCAGATTCGGAAACAAGGCGATAAACAGGTTATCTCCCTGTCAATAGCAATCTCGCGGCATTTGGTATTGCGAAGAAAGAAGTGACATGCGAGAGTGCAACCGTAGTGGCAGTAGTTGCTGAAGAGTGGAAGTGTCGTCCTAGCTTCGACTTACACTGCTTCCTTGCAGACAGTTTGACTATTGTACAAAAACAACTCTCACCCATCGCCAATGTTGGCAGCGCTTCCCCTTGTTGGATCTTTTTCACTGCTGCTCTTCCCAGCAAGCACTTGGGTTGGGTAGAAGCCATGCATCTCGTAAGTGTGTAGCTGCGCTGTCAAGCTCTCTATCACGTCGCACCTGGCAAAAAGAGGGAGGGGAAACGATAAAAGAATGGCCCGCAGGGCGGGATGAGAACAACGGGACACACCAATTCTCGTTCTACACCACCAATCGTCCATGATGCCGAGAGCCAAACGAAAGTCAATGCTAGCTAGCACGACCACCGTCACCACCATTACCACCTTC